ATAGTATTACAAGAGGTTTTCATTGATAACAAAGAAAAGAGTACTGAATTGCTATGTGATATCTGTCCTCCTTTATGGCAGCAAAAGTTGGACAGTATCCTTAAAGATGAAGAAGAGACTCAAGGCAAAAGAGATATAGTTCTACAGAAGGATGATAAGGATACCATGAACTGAACATCTGAGGTAAGCTTCCAACAAGTCCAACTTTGAAAACACTCTACCTCCATTTAATTTAGTGAATATATCCTCCGGAGACAGTAGAGGGTATGCATGGTCTTTTACACAATCATTTAAACCTGTCAAAAAGTCAGCACACACTCTGATTTTTCAGTTTTTCTTTTTTATATATATGGTTGGAGATGCCCAATCCGAGTAATTGACTTTTGAAATTACGCCAATTTTCTCCAACCTTTCTAATTCCTCATTTATTGTGTCTAGTGCCAAAAATGGTACATTTCTCCTTGGTTTAAAGATTGGTTTAACATTTTCTTTCAATTTGAAGTTGACTTCTGTTTTTGTGCACAGACCTAGTCCTTCTGAAAAGACGCAAGGGAATTAGCCTTTCAAATCCTTAATAAATCTTTCTGTTTGCTTCATCTTATAGTTCTTTATGACGTTAACTTTGTTACAGAAAGAATTCACCGGAAACTCCCATAAATTAAAAAATACGACCCAGTCTAAACCAAAGAGGTTTACTGAACCAGGGAGCACATACACTTTCGATTTGTGAATTTTTCCCATGAACACAATGTTAAATTTTAATTCACCTCTAAACTTAAGTCTTTTTCCTGACACTCCACTAGCAATTTTGTCTGTGTTAGTCAATGGCGGGTAACTGATTTTTTCCATGTTTGCTCGTTTATTACCTTCCTGAATCAAGTAATAATTTTACAGTCTGCCCATTTATTTTTTCATTGAGGTATTTTCTTCTTTGACCCTACTGAATTTTGTTTTTAGACAAAACTACGTTTGCCTTTGTTTGAGACTTTGATTTTATATTTCTCTGTTTTGCCTGACAATGGGAACTTCTATGGCCTACATGCCCACAATTAAAACATATTTTATCCCTAAAGAAACAATCCTTCTTTATATGCTGTTCTCCATATGAACTGCATATAATTTTTCTTTGTTTATTTTGTATCCACTTCTGATGTCTTACAGTTTGTACTCGTGAAATGCTCTTCTCAATCTGAGTATTATCATTTTTTATGTTTATAAGTCGCTGACATTCTTCCATTATTTTTTGTCGCATAATCTTCAGATCCTGTTCCATGATAGTAAAGATTATTGATCTAATTTCTTTGTCCTTCAGTGTCATTAGACCCTACACAAAAATTAGACACTTGAACATGTCACTTGACAATTCCTTTAATTTAAATGCCTCACACTATGCGTTAACCATACTTGCATACATGAAAAAAATCATCATCCTCTTGTTTTACGATATTTAGACACTTGTATCATGTATGAAACATCGAAAATTCTTGCATTTCATGGGTGTGTACATTACATACTCTGATTGACAACCCTGGCAAACCATAAGTGATACATTCTATGACAGAGGATGGGGACTATATTAAATTTGACTGTGGGCCATAAGTGGATGTGCCTATTTTAAATAAATACAAAAATATCTTATTTTAAGGTGTTTTCAAAGAAATGCAAAGTGGCCCAAAACTTTTGCTTGTAGTTTTTGTGTATATATATATGTATATATATAAATATATATATATAATCTGTGAAAATAGATATACTATAATACCATTTTTTAGTACTTGTACAGATGTGTATTCATGTTTGATTATATCATATATGCTATTTCAAGTCTTAAAACTTAAATTTTTTCCAGTTTTTATCACTGGCAACAATTTTAGCAATTAATCAAGAAAGCTTGACTTTTTGTAACTGATTGCAATTTCAATTTTAATTTTGTCCATTAAATTTTAATTTATTTGAAATATTGTTTCATTCATCATTATAAACATGACAATCACCTTCTTTCTATCATTATTGTTACCAATATCCATGTCACCCCATCAAATTATGATTTCTTTTTCATTATTGATTGTATTATTATTAGGATATCAATTTGCTATCATTTATGAAAAGAAAATTTTACAAGAGGCAATTAAAACATGTGTTATCAAAGAATTCTTCATAGTACATTCAGATAATTTAAAAATTCATCATGCAATTCTATGTAAATTTTCAAGATGTCTGTCCAATAAAAAGTTCATTTAAGATAAAATACCCTTAGTGAAACTGTAAAGAATCAAATTGATTTATATTGTTTTGGTGCAGTTAATTCCAACATATTTCAATATGTCATACGTTTAATTAGACTGTGTGTGCATATTTATCAAGTATAAGCAAAGATCATTATTCTCACATTTTTAATATAATTTCTGTGAAATGTACAAACACTTTTAAAGAATTTTTTAATGTGTACTAACTGAATGTCTGTTTCTGAACCTAAAGTTTACTCATAAACCTGGAGTATAAAATGATATAATGTTTCTTATAATATATTCTTTTAAGAATTCTTCTTGTTTAAATGTTGAACCGAGTTAATAAATTGATAATTAAGTTAGTGCATAATTGGTACGAAGTTTGTTTGAATAACTGGATGGAATTCTGTATTGTTATTTGTCAGTATATTTTATAAAAATCATATCATATAATAGAATAGAATACACTTACACCCACACAAACTCAAAAAGATGTTTGGAATTCAAAGCTCAAAATAAGTGTGAAAATATCTTATACTAAGTCATCAAAAAACCTGATTAACAAACAGTTCACATTGCATTACAATTTGTACCCAAATGCCTGGTGTGATATATTTTAGGCATTTTTCATACTCAACTTTGTGTCTAGTTCTCTTCTAGAGGGATGAAAACCAGAATAATCCTTTTTTTTAATTATTCACTAAGCTTTATTTAGTCTGTCACAAAATCACAAGTTGCTTACAGTACCTAATGTCCCTATACCAAATTCTTGGAAGTTTAAATTTAATAATTTTAAAAGACTTCACTATGGTAAAGTGACTAAAATATTCAAGAAATACTTCTTATATACTAAAAAGGACTATCTGTAATGTTCTACATGTTGAAAAATAAATAAATATGTTAATTTTTTTCCTGTGAGATGACTTTTTGAGAGGTTCAGAACAAAATGAAAGAAATATGTATTGCTGATGCCAATTTCAAGAGATAACATTTGAATGGATAACTTGTTGAGATGTTTAGGCAGAATAATAATTTAACCCTTTGCTGGCAGCAGTTAGTGGTAAATACCAGGATAGACTGGGATCCTGATATTTAGATGCCAACTCTGAATTCAAAACTGTAGAGAAGGCAACAGGAAAACATTCCACTATTTTTCCCAAGTTATGGGAATTCACAGATAATAAAGAAAAGGAATATGTGAAGATCTATGGTTGTCTATGTTCTGAAAGGATTTGGCATTTAATTTTTTAAAAAACTTGTGAGAAAAGCTTTTTTCCAAATAAAGTTTGAGATTAGTACCAAACATTACTGTCAAATTAGAAAATATACTTGAAACTGTAACAAAGATAAATCTTTCTTGTATCATTAAATTCCTTCAAGTAATTAGGTATATACCACTAAGTGAAATTAAAAAAACATAATTTAAGCAAATAGGCATATTCAAATAAAAGATTTTAGATTTTTCTGAATGACTTAGCCAACTCTAGCATCAGGTCACTCTTTGATATAGCATATATTAGTGTGAGTGTAATATGTCATCAAGTGAAAAAAATTTTAAAAACTTGAATATTTGAAAAAAACCTTTAATATTAAAGAACAGAAAACTGATATAATGATTTTACATAAGAATCAATTGTTATAAAATAAAATAAGATATATCTTGGCTGATTTGCAGGCAAATAAACTAACATACTCAAGAGCGAGAGCCGGATGTGAATGGGACAAGGCCCCATCACAAAATGACCATTATCGTCATTTGCGCATAGGCCCGACGCACGAGTTCCGGTCAAAAAATAAAATAATATTTTAAAGTGTTTCTATTTTTCGACCAATAAAAATGCTTTCCTCCTAATTATACTCGCATCGTTTTATGAGCCTGCTAAGCCATAAAAAACACCATAAAAGGGGTCACACAGGGAAGTACAAAGGCAGTCAACAGGAGGCCAAGGAAGAGACCTGTCACAGTCAGTCAGCAGCTGTCAGCAGGAGGAGTACCACGCCAACCAGTGAGAACTAATATGAGAGATCAACCCAGATCTGCAGCCGGCCTATGAACTATACCACAAGGTAGCTGTCCCAAAACCACACGTTCCTATTGAAATAAATCACATAAATCTATTTCTGCTGTTGTATTTCTTTCTTGCAACCATACGCTTGTCTATAACACACTGAACAAAATTGTTACTACTCCAAAATCTTTTATCAACTAGAAGCTGTAGCCATGATGAATTAAGGACCTAATTCTGGTAGCATTAATTAAACTAACATACAAAAGTGTCTTGATGTCATTGTATCTTAGTCTCAGTAGACAAACTGACTAATGTTTTATTCTATCAGATATATACATTTGTATATATATTAATATATTTAAGTATAAAATAACAGTCATGGTATATTACCTTGAATGAAGGTAATCATTGAATGATATCAAAAGATAAATAAAAATATAACTTAATTATTATCTATTTGCTACAAGTAGAACAATGAAAACATAAAAAGAAATAGATGTTAAAAATACACCAGAATCAAGCCTTTGTCTTTTATGGTTTGTAAAATCACTGTTATATAATTTATATTTATCCCCAAAATATTCACTGTCAAAAAAAGGAATTATTCTTACACAATTCAAAATATTTTGGGGGTATAAATAATATAAAAAGGATTTTGATAAATCATATAACAAATAAATCAATCACTTCATGGTTTGAAGTAATCAATTAATTGTATAATAATAAAATAATTCTTTATTAAATGAAAATCAACATGTCTTACCTGTATGATGTTTGTGGCTGAATCCCTTTCATCAGTTGCTACCCACATATATACAAATATGTGATTATTAAGAATTCTCAATTTTGACATCAGTTCATACAAATTAAATGTACTGGAGTCCCAATTCATTTGAGTAACTGGCCAGCCTCCAAGAAATTCCATAAACTCCTTCACAGGTTCTAAACCTTGTTCCTCAATGAGACCTGAAAAGAATAACAAATAACAAAGAATTTGAAACATAGAAAATGAAAATAACTCCAAAAAAACAGACATTTTTGATGATAATATTTATTTGTATGCAATAAAATTCATTTTACTTCATATTAAATTTTTTCAAATCATTATATCAAAAATATAAATACCATTTATGATGCTAATATTGATTACATGAAACAATCATTTGTTTTTAGTATTATCAGGTTTATACAACTATTTTCAGTAAAATGACTGATATTCTGATTTTTTAAAAAATCATTTCACCCCAAGAAAGGCAATAAAGCCACCAGGATGCAAGGGGTTACTGAGTGTTAGATAATATGAGAAAAAAACACTATTAAGGAGGGAGAACAATTGACACTGAATTTAAATTTTGGAAGATCAAAGAGGCCACACAAAAGTTCCACAAGTGAGAAGTGTGAGAAAAGAAACTTTTATCATCGAACTTATAGTTGCATCTAGTAAAATGATGAAACCTTTCATCTAGTAAAATGATGAAACCTTGCTGCCAATCTAGTACTATGCTTAAATTCATAAAGTTTAGGTACCATAGGGGAAAATATCTCAAGTTGTTATATTTTATCAAGAATCTTTAAATATAAAGTAGGAGTACCAGATTTGGAAGTAATATTCAAAGCAAGGATTTTTAAGCTACTTAAATATTTAAATAGTTCAGTGTAATGTATTTGTAAGTACAGACTTTTCTTCAGCATTTCAAAAAGGCTTTTGAATGACCAGACATGGATCTTTAGTTTAATGTTATTTTATACAAATCTAATTTGGAAGAAACAATAGATTTCATACATATATAACCATCAGTATTCTTTTAGATCAGTTTTAAGTTTTATAGTAAAAGTTAATATATTTTGCTACTTGTTATTAATTTCATTCACAAATAAATATATTTTGTTTTATATTATTTTGAGACACAGATAATATAACAAAAGAACAATGTTAATCTCTTTTCTGCTTTACTGTTGTAAATGTTTCTACTCATCTGTCTGACTGTATAGAATTTCAAAATCTCAGCCTGGTTTTAAATGATATTTTGGCCATAGTTCTATCTTAATGTGGCAGACAATTCTTGTCATTTAACAGGTAATAAGACATTTAACATTTTTAACCAGATTTCTATTTATTTGGCATTGAATAATAGTTTGAAAAAAAAACCTTTAGTCTTGGGCTCAATTTACAAACTAGGATTTATTCCTGACAAAAATTCACAAAGCAAAATACCACAGAATTTCCTGAATGTGTCCATGTTATAAACATCATCTATTACATTTTCTGGATACATATCTTTTACTGAATATACCTAGATTCTTTGAAATGGAAAAAAGTGGCAATCACTGTATTTCAGACTTGATAAAACACAAATGTCTTAAATTTGTAACAAAAACTGCATCCAGCCTTAGTAAATAGTATAGACTTGCTTCTTTGAAAATAGATTAACAAGGTCATGCAACAATAGCTAAAATAGTTTCAATATTCTATCAGCTTAATGTTTTTATTTTCTGAAATTGAATTTCAGAATTTGGTTTTCTGCTACTTATTTTGCAACTTCACATTGTAAACATTTTAGTTAATAAAATGATATTAAATATCTTGAGTCCACCACCAGTATTAAAAAAATTGTATAAAAAAATATTTTAATTACCAAAGCTGGATAAAATTATAGAAAAGTCAAATATAACTAAAGTATAATGAAGCTTTCTCATGGAAACATTCTGGTTTAGTACATTTAAAACTATAAAAATATTTCTGTTGTAAAATGGCAATGAAATGAAAAGAGAACAATTAAATATATTCCATGAAATATCTCAGAATTGGAGTAGAAATTCTCAAAAAAATTTTTTTTATCCTAAATAAAAAAACAATCAAATCTAATTGAATAATACAAATAGAAAATTATCAATTCAATTAGTAAGCAACACTATCTATTCTCAAATACATGCATCAGATTTCTTCAGAACCTTTTGAAAACACTGTCTTCAAAATTACCACTGTGAAAGCTTTGTACAATGTTTGATTTCTAACTTCATCAATTCAAATTTCATAAAACATTATCTGTTTCTCAAAGCAATATGTATTTACTATTCTCAAAATGCTTATATTTGTATAGAAATATCCAAATCCCAAATAACATTTCTTTATCAATAAGCATCATTTTTTTTCTTTTTACTCCAGATTAATGCATGAACATCAATCATTAATTACTAAACAATGAAACATTGTTATGCAAGAAACATATTTAAATAATTAGGCAAAGTCATTTGGAGAATATTTTATATTTCAAGAGAAAATTTCTACACTAAATATTTTTCCCCCAAAACATCTGATTCTTTTTTCCTTTTTTACTGATCATTAATTTCATCACAAAAACTGTAGAAATCATTCAATACTGCCTCAGTTAAAAAATCTCAACAACATTAGCACAGTCTTGAAATATTTACTTTTACTGTCTTACAATGGCTTATAAAATGCTATTTTATTGTTCTTTTAAAACAAGATTAAGACAAATCATATTTTTTTAATTATTTGGTAAATTTTTACGATGTATTTGTGAACATTCTTCTGTTATAAAATGAATATATTGTCATTTATTTTATAGATGTAAAAATAATAAGATTATCCCATAATACTTTGAGAAAAGTTTTACAAACTTCTTTTTATTTTTGTGCCATTTATTTAAGCAAAGCTATAAGATTTTATTTTTTATTATATGGAAAAGTACTGACAGTATTAAACATACATACCAATATGGTATAAAAGAAGGTTAACCAATCTTCTCTGATATTGGTTGTCCCCCATCAAACTCAATAGTTTCTAATTAGCAGCAAGAGCCTTGTCATACTTGCCAATTAAAAATGTAAAAAATAAGAGACTGAGGATTGATCTGTCCATTTTGAATGGCGTGTTTGGAAGAGGTGAAATCCATAGAGTCCTATGGATTGATTCCTCAAATGAATTGGTTGATTGCCTTTCTAAAAGAGAGAAATGACAGAAAAAGTATGAGATGCAATCAGTAGAGATTAACACCAGTTTTGATAATGGCAGAGATGACATCACTGTTGTCTTTGAGGAAATACTGAGACAATTGTGGGCAGTGATTCATTGTCTCAGGCTGGTGTCAATGGTGATACAGATTACATGTATGGAAAACAAAACACAGTTTAAAACACATCTTGGCAAACAATTATCCCATTGTTTTACTGAAGAATGTGTAATTTCAATTTTATTAAAATTGAGCAAAGCAGACTTACTTGTGTTGATACAGGCTGAATACATGTATTTGGCTTTTTTGATTGCACTGTTTTCATCTGGCTTAATTTCTGTCTCCAGTAAATCTGCAAAAGAAAAGTATTCTCTCAAAAGTTTCTATCCATTAAGATAACATTGTTTGTAATCAGTTTTATAAAAACAATAAAAAAATGCTATTATTTGAATATGCTTATATATCAAATTTAACTGCTGTTTCAATTGCAACCTTTTAAAATTTATAAAATATCAATACAGAAATATCAACTTACAGTGAAACAGTCAGTTTGGTGAAAATTACAATTAAACTCACATGATACAGAAATTCATAGAATTCATGAAGCATTTTTCCAGAATGCCATGTTTCATTACAGCCTTGAAAAGGAATGGATATATATTTATTTACATTTATATAAAGATGAACAAATTATTCTGTTATTTCATAAACTAGAAGAAGAGTTTTATTTTGTATCATGTGAATGTGTTTTCATTCATCTGAGAATATAGTTGGTTGTACAATTTTACATTATTTGTATATTTTCTGAATAGGATGAGTGTTCAGTTAGGCAATGGTTTTATGGAAATATTGTTAATATATTTTTGTCTCAACCCATTAAAAACACAAACTGAAAATAAAGATAATTATAAGCATACATTTGATAATAACAAAGATAATGAAAGTGTATATTAGAATTGTATCCAGTGTTTATGAATAAAGCAAGGCTACATGCATTTTCATCATTAATTCTTCTCAAAGACTATAAATGCATTTGTAAATTTATGTTTTTCTCACATTGGAGAGCCCCATAAAAGATCCTTTATAAATGCTGAAGGGTTCCTTGCTAAAAAAACATTCTTACTTGGAGTAAAACTGTGTTGTGATGGTACTCCAAGATTCCTCTGGATACACTGTAAAGTCTTCTACAAAATTGAGAAAAATCTCAAAAATCTCAGTCTATCACTGTGATCTATAATGTTTTTAGGAATTTTGAGGCTTATGGTAATTACAGAAAGAAGCTGGCAAGAAAAGGAAGATTTCTGAGCTGAATGAATTATGAGATGTTGTAAAAATCCATGAAGAAGTGTTTAGAAAATTGCATCAACAATAATCCAGACACAACAAGTATTGAAATCTTTTGTCTGCAACATCTTCACCAATAACTCTCATGTAGTACTGGAGCTAGTTAAAATAAAATTGTTTGTGTAAATTTCACAAACAAGCCAAATGCCAGTGGCTAGAAATGATCTTTAAAGAGTATCCTGATCTGCTGAATGCAATCTAGACAGATAAAATGTTTTTCAATCTTAACAGGCTTGAACTACTACAGCTTTTTATATGATCTGTGGCAAAAAAAATGCTGAAATGGGCTGCTTGTAAGTTTGATGATGAGGAGTTATGGTCGAGAGCAGCAATGTTGTCTAGTTATTGTTAATGGAATACAGAAAACATACAGGTACCAAAAGTGTTTAAAAACAGAGGAAAATGCTCCTATTTCAGCAAGTCAATCTAAGATGTCATTCTCTAAAGACAACTGTAATGTACGCAGTGGCATGCCAAGGTTTTGGTCTGGTGGGTGGAGAAGTTCAACTCAGCATCCTCTACCACAACCAGTGGCCAACAAGCCAGGATGGACCAAATACTAATTTTTTAGAAATTCAAATATAAATACTTCTTGCCATTATTGATGCAATGTAATTAGAAATATAAATACAAGTAATTTTATTCCAAAAATGCAAAAACAAAAATACATACTTCTGAAACAAGACAAAAATATAAATATAAATGCTTTTTCACACTAATACATATGCTCTGAAAAAGTATTTAAATATAATTCAAATACATTTTTATTTGATCTGCCACTATTAACAAGCACTGTACATTGACAAAACCTGAATTAAAAGATGTGAAGACTAGAGCAATTTGAATTCATAAAGCCTCAACATATGACCAGGCTTGGTGGTCAAAAATTTGTCAATAACACCATCCACATTAATATGTCCAAATTCTTCATTTCTAATGCTTAATAAAGACAAATTGCTTAGGAGTTCCTAATTCATTGTGCTTCAGAGACAGTTTTTTATTAATTTAGTTTGCTGAAAGGATGCCACAGTGACAGCAACAGCCAACAGTAAATGCAAAGTTATTTGTACAATTTGTACCTGAGTGATTACTTTTCATCTGTAATAAAGTGGTCTGCCTCATCTCTAGACTTCGATCTCATAAAAAAATCTTTGGAGAGTGTTGGCAAGTGATGTTGTAGATTAGTAACACCCAATATTCTACTTTTGAGGAGCTGAAACAGGCTATCATGAATATGTAAGAGTAAATCCCTCAATCTACACATCTCTAAATTGGCAAACTTGATGACAGATCATGTCTATCAAGTTTTGAAGGCAGAAGGTGCAACCATAAAGTATTAAATTTTTCCTAAAAATGTTCTATCAATAAAAACTTATTTCTGTACTGATTTTACAATTACTGAACATGATCTTTTTCCTGTTTTTATAAAAAAAAGTTTGTAAAAGGAAAAATAAAAAATATAATTTACAACCATACAAAAAATATGAAAACAGAAATATTTTATAAAATGTTAACTTGCTTTTAAACAAATTCCACATAAATCTTTTTGACATTTTTATTTCTGTGTGGAGTGTACACCTATTTGGATCTATCTTTACACTTATTGTGTGATTAACATTTTACTATGCATATTAAATTGAATTTTATAAGTTATGGTTATCAAGAAATCTACTTGGGTCTAAAAATATAGCCACTTGAAAGAAGCAATTATTTTCCAGCATAATCTCATCCCTTTCTACAACTTTAACCTGATACTTCTCCATAGGTCACATAAATTGAATATTATAGTGAACATTTCTGATAAGAATTTTGATTTACACTCATAGCTATTATAGCCAGAATACTACAGAAAATAAACACATCATTAGGAAAGAATATTATTTTTGTTAACTTCTTGAAAAAGCTTATGATAGATTTTAAGACAATATCATCAATGATAGGCAATATTTAAAAGTAAATAATATACTTTTCCATAAAATATATGTTCTATTTTTAAACTGCAAACATGGATTAAAACATTTTATAAATATTGGGAGTAATAATTGTTCTTTTTATTATAAGTGAGAATAATTATTACATAAACCTCCAGATGACAGCAACATTTTCTTGGGAAAGATAGCACCAATAAGATATCCCATAGCAGCCAAATTAATGTACACCTAATTATGGCCAGAAATCTCATATCTATAATAAAATCTATAGTATGGGAACAGCAGTCTGAATAAATCAAATAAGAAAAAGTATATTGAAAATTCATCATTTCAAATTTCAAAGCAAAAGTATTAAATCATTGCAAGCAAAACCAGAATGAATGTATTTTAATTTATAGTATTATTAGCTACTTTGCTGTAGTTATGAATAGTTAACTTTGGATCAATTTGTCATACCTCATGCACACTCATCTATTTATATTTCTTTAAGTAAGCAAAGAAAATCAAAGAAGTTGGCATGATCCAGATGTCATATACCATCTGAATTAAATTAGCTTATGGGATTATTCTATCGTTTAAGAACAATTGCTAATTAAAGAAGAGATATTTTCTAGATAAATCAAGAGAGATTTGAATCTATTACTTTAGTAGTGCAATAAATAATATAATGATTAATAAATAAAGTTTAGCCTTTTATCAAAATACTTTTGTTTACAAATACGAAAGGAGGCATCTTTGAAATTCTTTAACATTTCTATTTAGTTCAATTCTGAAAATGTCCATACACTTATCAATGTAACCAAGTTTCTGATAAATAAGGAAAAACTCTTTTCATCATTGATATGAATTTATATGGAACAAGAAAATATTTAAATTTAGATCAACTAAGTTCCACAAAGCCTGCCAATAAAAACTTTGAAACAATCATTTTATGTTTTTGCAATATGCTTATAAACATACACAAGTACTTAAAATTACTTAAACATACAACACCTTTTAATCCTTCCAACAACATTTCCTAAGATACACTTTCTCAATATCAAATTAATTAAATTGCCATCATGGATAAGTAATGTTCCTTTAAATATACACTGACGTGCCAAAATTCATGGAATAACAGTATATAATGATAGGAAGCATTACTATAGCTTGATATTATAAAAATGCCAAGACCTGTATTAGTGCTCTGATATTTGGTCAGTGTGATCACTAGCAAAGGAACATAAATTATTGAAATTTGAACAGATCATGATAGTGGGCATCACACAGATATAATATTCCATTCCTGAAATTTTGTGGACATTTGACATCCCTCAATTTATGGAGTCATGTGTGTTCTGGGAATACCAGATGGAAGGTATAACCACCCACAATAGACAGCACAGTGGTTGATCAAAGATATCTAGGTACAGTTGTCTGTAGTAACAGATAAGCAACTATCTCAGATCATATATACATTCAATGCAAGACATATCAGAAGCATATACACCAAGCCAGTTTAGTGCTCTTTAGCTTTCATGGGATATGAGAGAAGAAGATCCACCAGGTTGTGCTATGTGCCCTAAGACAACAGGTACCTCACCTTGGCTTGTGATGGCACTTATTGGAAACTGGAGAATTAGCAATATATGATGTCATTCAATCTGCCATAGTTCTAATTTTTGTGCTAATGATAAAGTTTGATTGTTGTGTTGTGTTGTGTTCACATGGCATTCTTTGAATTTGCTGGCCCACTTAAACATGTAATTGACTGGTGACTGTTATATTGCATTGCTTCCTGAACATCTGCACCCATTTATGGACTTCATGTACTCGATCAATGATTAGTTATTCCAGCAGGCTAATGCACTCTTATTGAATCCAAACTGCCCAAAATGAATTTTAGGAGCATTCTTGAAACTACTGACAAATAGCATGGCCAACATGTGTCTAATTGAGCATTTTTGGACTATGGTCAAGAGATTTTTGCACCTAAAAAATATCAAGGAGGATTGGACAGTATGGCCCAGTATCTCTTTAGAAGTCTTTCAACTACTTGTGGAAACAATATCACATTGAGTTGTTGCATTTTGCCTGA